TTTTATCCATTTCTTTTTTTTAGGAATACAATCAAAAATATGGAATCAATATCAAAAACAAAATCTAAGAAATACACTTACCATACTTAATACACTTAATTTAATAAATACACTCACCATACGTATTTTTAAAAAAATTTAAAATACAATATAAAACATTTAATTAATAATTGTTAATTAAATATTCTTTTTTTAAAAATCAATTATATTTCTAATAATTGTTAAAAATAATTTATATATATATATATATATATTAGTATTTACGTAAAAGTAACATATATGTTACTTATATGTTAACATATATGTTAATCCTATATAATAAGAAGTAATATAAATCAAATTTAGAAAGAATTTCCCGCCACTTTCATTAATTATCTCCTAAAAATAGTAAATCAGATTTTTTCGTTTTTTTTATTAATAACATCAAATACTTTTATTTTGGTAAACAATAAGGAATCAAAATCCAAATAGATCTCATATTTTTTCAAACAATTTGGAAAAATGAATGCAAATCCGAATAAATCATGATTTTAGAAATCATGATTTCCAAACAATTTTGAAATCCGAATAAATCTCCAAGGGAAATCATGATTTGTATATATCATGATTTTAAAAATCTGTTCAAATTTTTCTTTGCATGAATCTGAATCATAATTCATTCATCCTATTATTATATTATTAAATTGTTTGAAAACGCAGGCTAAAATTTGTATATGACAGATTTCTAAAATCATGATTTGTGTATATCATATTTTCATCAATTAGACTTTTTTTCTTCATTATCGATTTGAAAAGGAAAACGAATTTTATATACCTTATCAGTTTTGATAATACAATGTTATAATCATTATCATCATTTATTTTAAAAGATAGTGTTTGTCATTTATTTGATTTCAAAAGATGAAAAAATTTTCATAGTTTAGGTTTCTTTCTATTTATGCATTTACACAAATTAATTTAAAAACTCTAATAAAGATTGGCAACAAAATTTGTTATATATTCATTCAAACCAACTAATTAATAAAATAGTCCATCAATCACGAAATTAAAAAAATAACACACGATCACTACATTTCAAAGATTAAGTTTTGTAGATAAACATTCATTTATATTCTCATGACGATAAACAAGAGTGAGTGTCAATCTTATTTATTTGATGATTTCAACTGCTATATTTCCAATGATTTTTTTTTTTACCGTAGGAATTTCCATTGGAATATGCAAATTCCGTTGGAATTTTTATTTCCACCCCGTTGAAAAATCCACCGTTGGAATCGTCAAAATCCAACAGAAATTCCAATGGAAAATTCATTCCAACGAAATATTTTTGTTGGAATTTTCTTTGGAATCCATTGAAAATTTCCAATGCAAATAATGGTATTGAAATATCCGTTGAAATTGTCGTTGGAATAATTTCTTTTGGAATAGATTTCCATTGGAATTTTATCATTTTATTGTAGTGTGCCCAATAATCAAACTAATAATGTTGTTTACAATTAGGTAATTAATAACATATGATATTTTCATACCCGAACATTTTATGAGCATTTTCCGCTCAAAACATTAATTACCTACTATAGATGGAAATAATATAAATGATCTAAATAAAAAATAAATCATTAATTGAATAATTTTCATATAACTCGATTTTCGATTTGTGTTTGTTTTAGTAAATTCTTAGTTTTCTTTAATTACGTTGATAGTGGTTTTGTAGGCAAAGATTATGTAAATAATTATATGTAGCCGATTTTGGAACTCTTATTTTATCAAGGATTCTTTTTTATTTTAACATATTTATTAGAATCATTGATTTGGATTAACATATATGTTACATATAAAAAAAAATAAAAATTATAGTAATATTTAAATTTACATGGCGTCAATTTTGAATTCTTATTTGTGAGGATTCTTTTTTATTTTATCATATTTATTAGAACCAACAATTACAAAATTTCAAATTTATATTAATATCTAAATATATTTATATTAAAATTTAAATATATTTTTCATTGTAGCAGATTTGAGAATGAACGATTTTATATGAGATATATACAAATCTTTGTTTTTTTTTGAGATATACATCAATTCCCTTTATTGGTATTCTTTTTGTCAATTATTTTTAAAAGGAAAATTTTCAAAATTTTGTATAGTAAATCGATTTTTTGTTTTTATATACACAAAATATAAATTTATTGCAATATATATATATATATATATATATATATATATATATATATATAAATTTACTACCTAAAAAGTTGTCACACATATAACAGGAAAGTTGTCCAATTAAAAATTGTTTAGTTTGAAAATATATAACAAGTTGTCACACATTCAATTAAAAATTGTTTGGCTTGAAAAATTAGCCTGAAGTAATGTGTCTAATCACTAATGTTTTATATTTTATATCTACTATATATAATCTCTCTCATAAAATTAGTGTGATGTAATATTAAATATTTTGTATTATTCATACATATTTTTTATATATAAACTAATTCATTTGTCCAACTGTTGTGTAAATTATCATATTATAAATAGATCCATCTTACACTTCTATTTAAGTTCCAGTGGCACCAGTTCCTTCTGATTTTGGGGTTCCATTTAACAGTCATGGTCAGTCTTTTTGTATAAAAAATATAGAAATATTAGTGAATATTATATAGCTAATCAAGTATAATCGATATTAAACTAACAGCTCATTGTCTGACTGCCTAAGTAAATTATCATATTATAAAAAGATCTATCTTAGGATTTCATTTAAGTTCTAGAGCACCAGTTACTTCTAATCTTAGGGTTTCATTTAAGATCAGGGTCAGTCTTTATGTGCGTTGGCATATTATTAAGGAAATCGGTTTTTAGCAACGACCGATTATATGTTTTTGTTTTTACGTGTATGTAATAGATAAGAGATGTGCATTGTCATGTTCTTAAAAAAATCTTTTTTTGATCACGACCAATTGTATGTTGCTATGCGTGTAAGTAATAGGTAAAAAAGAGTCAAGGTCAACATTTATTGTTTGTTGGCATGTTAAGTAATAGATCAAGAAGAGTTAAGGTCAACATTTATTGTATGTTGGCATGTTCTTAAAGAAATCAATTTTTGGTCACGGACAATTATGTTGTTTGTTTCGCGTGTAAATAATAGAAAAGTGTTGAAAATATTAGTTTGTGGGGACGACGAGTTGCTCAGTTATTGAACAAATAATGTTGTGTACAAGAAAGTTTAAATAATATAATTTTTTGCATGAGGAACATTTTATGGTTTGATAATTTTTCTGCGAATTATCACTCTTTTATTTATTAATATATTTTAATTTTTAATATTCTCCAAAGTAAATACACCCCGTGCATTGCACGGGTTACATACTAGTTCTCATATCAAACATTTGTAAAATATAATTAGTCTACATTAATTTTGTAATATTATTAATTTATTATTAAAACAAAGATTCAGAAAATATAAAATATTTTAGCCATATGAATCATGGTGCTTAATTTCGTATAAATACCAAATTGGGCATTCAAAAATTTTTATATGGTGTTAGAGTTCCGTTAAAAATTCAACTGAAGATTATAGAGTGTGAAGAAATTTGTTACCATATATTCATCAAAAGTTTGGAAACATTGTTAACTCTGCTATCAAATAAAAAAAATATAAAAAAATATAAATGTGGTGTTATTTAATTCAATTATCAAATAAAATAATATAAAAAGATAATGATCAAATAAAATATTGGTCCCTGAGACAAGGATCTTGTCAGTATCTATAGAAATGATCTTTCCCCCACGCTCAACTGTAGCAATAGCCCCTGAATCTAGAGCTACTTGGCAACTCAATTGTCAAATAAAAGAAACATTGTTAGCTCGGCATTGATCAATTGTCAAATAAAAGATCTATTGTTAACTCAGTTATTCAAGTGATCTTTAAAATAGAAAAATGAAATAAGGAAAGAAAGATTTGTGTGATCTTTAAATTCAAAATAATTTTGGTAATGAAAAATAGATTGATGAGATGCAATGATGTATAGTGGTAAAATTATTTATGGTTGTTTTCAATTTTGTTTCTAATTTTTTATCCGAACCTAAATGCAAAACATGATATTGTGACATGTAGGATTCCAAAGCATGCGCATCTACCACTTAAGCTCAACACGTTTTGAATTAATATACAGGGAATCAGTTTTGCTAGGAAGCCAATAATTGGCTCCATAATGGAGCCAATCTTTCATATGCAAAAAGTAAACATATCATATTCTCTTACTACTTAAATAAATACTAACAATATTTATTAATATGATATGATTTACTTATTGTATATAGAAGGTTGACTTCATAGCAAAACTGTATAGGAGATATTGTATAACTCACTCCACAATAGAGATATTATGAGCAAGATTTTTACATTTAGTACAAATGCAATAAGATTTACATACAATTACAACAAGGAGAAAATCATAACTATTTTGTCAACCATTTAATATAATTTATGTCTCCAAATTGAATGTGATTATCACAATTTAAAATAACAACTTTTATGTATAATCCAGAAAACATTTTTTTTTTTTTTTTTTT